TAGCTAGCTATGAGAGCTTCTAGAAGCTACTTAAAATCCCTAAACTTCAGGATTTTTATATGAAATACTAAGATAACAGTAACAGCCTGTCTGTTTCTTAGAATTAATGAAATGCATAAATATTTTCACAGACATGGAAAACTCATATTTTTGCTCTTCCTATCCTCACTCCCTCCCCCCAGCATTTGGATTATATTTATTCTCCTCTGTGTGTTTTTTTCACCCCTCTTCTTGCATTTGTAGATATTTTTGCATGGTAACAACCTGAACAGTCTACACCAACTAATTCATCCCGAGATCCTGCCCTCTGAGTTTGGAGGAATGCTACCCCCTTATGACATGGGAACATGGGCAAGAACACTGCTGGACCACGAGTATGATGATGACAGTGAATATAACGTGGACTCCTACAGCATGCCAGTGAAAGAAGTAGAAAAGGAGCTCTCCCCCAAGTCCATGAAGAGGTATGCCGGAGGTAGCTGGGACGTGGGTGGAGCCAGGCTAGAGGCATCCCAAGTCTAACTCCAGGTTTTATATTTTTCTGAAGTTGATACTTGGTGGGGATTTTAAAGCCTTTCCTGCATCCAAGATTGGATGTCTAGGAATTTTGAGTAAAAAATAAAGTCATCTGAGGTAAACTCAACTCACTGTTGTTCCAAATTCATAGACAACCTAGCAGGGCCCTTAGAAGTCACCAAATCCAGTGGTTTTTCAATCTGTACTTAAGGGCTCTGGTGGAGCCTTTCAGGCGCAGCAGGTGGCATGGGGACAGTGTCCATCTCCACTGCAATGAAAGTGACTGTCCTCCTATCTAAGTAATTTATTGGACTTCTGTGTAAGATTTCATTTAAAGAAAGGGCTCCATAGAGTACACACACACACACACACACACACACACACACACACACACACACTTCAAACACTACCATTCAAAGCTTATGTTCTCTTTACAGTACCTCTGCCAAGTTTCTGTTTAATGATCTGGCCATTCCTGGGGCAAAACATTCTATTTCCCTACACCTTTAATCTTTATAAAGTTCACTGTTGAGTCAGAGTCTGACTCCCTGCTTTGATTCTCATGGTATTTTTATGCCTTATTTCTTTCAATCAATACATATTTAATCAGTGCTCTGTAATGGATGCTTTCCTAGGTGTTTTGGATCCAATGTGGATAAAATGTATATCCAGCCATCATCTAGTGATGATGGAGGGTAGGGTAGTGGCCACACATGCACAAATGCATAACTGTCTCTGATTTTTACATTCTGTAGCAAACTGGAGACGTCTAATTTCAAGGTTTCCCCATGACACACCAGCCCAGGGCTCATTTAGATAATGTAACAAATATTATCTATTGGTTCATTTCCTATCACAGAAATATAGGAACCACAGTTCCTGCAAGTGTGTCCTTTCCTAGCTCAGGGAGGACCCAAGAGCATCTCACATGCCATCCTAAACACTATCTTGCATCTTTCTCTGATGAAAGCCTTATGGTCCTTTTGTCATTGCTGTGTGTCAGGCAGTGACACTCCAGTTCTTAAAGCTGGCCCC